AGTAATGCCGGACCAGAGCCTTCATGAAACAGAACAAAGATTGACCTCTGCTGCTTGGGTGGTTTTATTTATGTCTGGAAATGCTATGTCCATGACTAAGTCTGAGTGCATGCCACTCTGGATGGCAAATGTCTTAAGTTGCAGTTTGGAGGATAATGAGCTCCGAGTTATACCAGTATTGATAGATTCAGATCCTAGTAGCATTCCGGACTTCATACGCTGGGTGACATACATCAGCATTAAAGAGGAGGGGTACCAAAACAGAATCCTTGACATCATCAATGGTAATGATGTAGAGGAAAACACTGTAATCTGCATATTTTGTTTTCAAAATACATGTTCTTAATATTTAAAAAATAATAAAACCTTACCCTTTTCGGAATGTTTAACGTACAAAGAAAAGAATAAAAAACATTGATTTTTTCTTTTGTTTGGTAAAATACCATCGATATTTTTTAACATACAATTGAAAACGTATCACTGTGCTTAGAAATATAGCTTTGATTTTCTAACTTCTCATTTAAGGCAAACCAGTTTCAATGAAGTCATTGTCTCCAGTTGGGAATGTAGCGTATGGTCTAGCCTGGGCGTTTTTTATGAATTATTTACGATATGCTGTTACTGGTAAGTGTGTCTTTGTAGTTCTTTTAACTTTTTTTTTATAAAGAACAATTATTGACTAAAATTTAATGTAACAATCTTAAAATATCTATAAATAAAATAAATGTGTGAATAGGGCATAAAATGGCCGCTTGAAATTCCAGAAGTAGGATCATCCGCCTTGGCAGAGAAAGCATGCCCTGTCAACTTGTCACATCTAGCGTGAGATTATATATTGATAAGATAGATAGAAGTTAATGTAGTCGAATTTAGTTCTAAAAGAAAGACCTAACAGTCGGTATGAAAGATATCAGGCGGAATGCGACCAATGATGGAGGAAATTTGCTTATATGATTGTTAAAGCACGCATATGTGGAAACTGCGTCATTTACTTACTTTAACGAAGTTATCTAAATTTCGATTAACATCAACTTGTCTATCAGTTGCCTGTCTTTGCTTTGAAATCTATCATACCCGTAACATCCCTTTGAATATCGAATAATTTTTGTGTTGTAAGAAATATCGAGGATTTATAAATAAGGAATGATGCAACCAATAAGCTGAAATCATCTCGTTCATCCAAATTAGTTGTAAATTTGCCCGTGGGAAAAGTAGATGCAGTGGATTATAGATGGCAGTTTGGCGATTCAATAATATGTTATTTAGTCACCAGACCCAAGAGCAGGGTTAAGATGATCATAGAAGATTATTGAAAATCATTTTATTGTGCATTAACCCTACATTAATGTATATCCTTTTAATTCCTGAATTTCAAGGATAATTTTGAACTAGATTGAGTTCAAAGGAAACGCTGAAAACCTTCCAGCCTAACGAATATCTTCTTTCAGTTTTAAATTGGATTTATTCACCTATTTAAGCATAAAATATTCATATGTTCTTTTATATATCTCTTTAATTTTGTGCCGTGTGTACCAGTTGCATTTGAATGTAATAGCTTATATAGTGTTTTCACATATTATGTCAACTTTATCATTGTACATGATAAATAAATTCTTAGGAGTGTAAAATTAACTACAAAAGAATATGATCTTTATAATAAAAATCTGTTTTAAAAATGAAATGTGGAAAATCGCAAGCGGAGCATCATTCCCCGTGCCAAGGGCATATCCATAAATCAAGAGAGCATATTGACATCCATCTTCGCTAACCAAGGGTTTCTGATACGCTCCTCTCCACATAAACCCTTGGCATACGGTGAAGTCAAAAGACGGGATTGTTTTCCGTCACGTGATCTCGAATCTATCAGGTACGCACAGATTGCGTCATCGCCAGAAATAAAGACACGTGTTAAAAAAATTAAATCGAAGTTTTTTCAAGATTAATTAAGAAGCATTAATTGAGTTATGTTTATTCATTATTTATAGAACAAATCTGAAGCTTCAATATAGCATGGCTATTCATAGAATTGAATATTATCTTACGGATCGTTGTTTACTTGCGTTTTTCATTTCCGAGATTAAAGAGTAAAGATGTATCCCGAACGCAAATATCGTCATTTACAAAAAACAATTGCTGATTGGTCGACCTGGGTGTACTGAAATCCAATCAGAAATCTGGAATAAAATCCCGATTTCTATGAACACTGTAGGCCAAGGATTTATGAGGAGAAACCCTTGACTAGCGAAGATGATTGACATCGATCCTGATGCAACTGACGTTCCATACGATTCGCACAGGACATAACAAACCAACAAACACACCCTTACAGGATTGCTTCATTATATCTCCATCAGCTCTGTGCTAGGGGATAATGTTTAATACCATTATTATCATTTTTTTTAAACTGCAAACAGAATTAAAAACTGTACGGCCGTCATGTAAGCCCAATCGGTGGAGAGCTTGCTCAGTGATCGGAAGCCCGTGTGTTCGAATCATAGTCGCGACTTACCTTTGCTAATATAAATAATGAAGCAACTGTTCCTTCGCCAAGTGCTCGGCAATTTAAAGTGAAATTTGCGAGTCCGTTGGGTTTGACAAAAAACAAGGCGACATACAAACAATCGATTAGTCAATCAAAATTTTACAATTGATTAATACAACTTGATTTTAAATAAGAATATCTTAAAGTATTTCCATTTCCAATTGTTTTCCGTATGATAAACACTACAAAAGTGAATCTTGTTTATTTCACCGTGATTCCTGTGGCATGTAAATTTCTCTATATTAGTGGCGTATATAACACTGAAGAAAAAAAGATGTTTTGTTTAATTGTGTACTAAGTAATTAGATATGATATATCTTTTTACAAATAGATTAAATAATGAATTATCTTCGGATCAAAAGCAATTCACTAGTGCAACGCTGTCCATTATCGCTGAGACCTCGCGAGACCGAGAACCTCACTTCCGTAAACATGCATGGTAAACAGCCCACCTAAACCACGTGGAGAAATCGGCATTGTCACATAGATCATCCGATACAGACATCGGGTGTCTTCTAGCTATTCCCACTTTTTGAAATCGCAATTCCACCTATTCCCACTTGCAAATAACAATGGATGTTTAGATTTACCTGTATTTTGTACATTTAAAGACCGAAAATAATGAATTTATCAATGAAAAAAATATGATTTATTTCGGATTATTGAAATAATAAAAAGATCTTACAAGAAATAGCAACTTAATACCTAAATTTAAGAACATAGTTAATTATTTGTTTACACAAAATTCCACCTACTCCCACATGAAATTTCACCTTTTTGTACCTGATTTTCAGAAAGTGGGAATAGCTTGCATAAACCAGACATCGTCCCTCAGTCATTACCATCCAACTTCTTACGCAATTTACCTTCTCTGTTGTTTTAACACACACAATTCTGTTTCCTGACCATGCCGACCAACTCCCGTTTCATCAACTGCAACATTGCATTCAATATAGCGGCGGAGAAGTGGCCTAGGGCCTATACACTTGTTCGTGCTTCTGACAACCTAAATCTAGGTCACATATATAATTAAAGTTAGCAAGATTGCTTTGATCGTAATATAAAATTCTTTTGTTGTTTATCTTATGAATGTTGATATTTGACTGCAGTATAACTAAATAATCATTAGAATTGTTTCGTGTTTGTATGGGACTATTTTTTTATAGTAAATTTTGACGTCATGGGGCGGGAAAATAACATGGAATGCCTCATGCGTTCAAATCCACTAAATTAGACGGTATTTCGATTTATTTTAAGATTGTTATTTCAAGTAAAAAATCGAAATATAAGGAATCACCGTCTAGTTTTGAGAGTATGCCACTATTGTTGATGCCCTGGCATACTCTCAAAACTAGACAGTGATTCCTTAAATAAACCATGTGTGTTAAAATATATAATTTACATATAAATTTAAAAATAGTAAAGAATGAATCCCATTTCAAGTCATTTTAACTAAATAAAATCAATAGAGCATGCAAAAGTGAACTTAATGAAATAACTTCTCTTCATAAAGCCCATAAATCTAATTTGTATTTAGGAAAATATACATGTTCATTACACTTTGTTCATTTTAAAAAGTCTATTTTTAGTTCACCTGAGCCAAAGGCTCAATTGAGTTTTTCTGATCAAAATTTGTCCGTTGTCTGTCGTTGTCATTGTAGTACACTTGTTCACATTTTCTTCATCTTCTCTAGAAGCATTACGCCGATTTTATTCAAACTTGGCGAAAATAAAACATATCCCTTTGGTAAAGGGAATTCAAGTTTGTTCAAACGAAGTTCCACACCCTCTCCCTAAGAAGAGTAATTACGAATTAGTGAAAAATTAATGGCATCTTCTTCTCAAGTTTGTTCAAATCATGACCCCCGGAGGTAGGGTGGAGCCATAATGAGCGATAAAAGTGTTATATACAAGGAGATGTACCAGGTATAGGAGATTTCCTTAAAAAACTTCTCAATAACAATACATCCATATTTGTTATTATTTATATATAAACATCCTCATGTAGCATAGTTTCAAATTTGTTCAAATCATGAACGTTGGGGATAGGGTAGGGCCACAATGATCGATCAAAGGTTTAGGAAAAATCTGAAAAACATGTATATAGGAAAAATCTTTTCTAAACGGTTTAACCAAGATTTATGTTATTTAATTGTAAGCATTCTCAGGTAGCAAATCATGATCCTTGGGGGAGGACATACTGGTTGATCAATACATGAATACATGGATAAATCGTTAAAATCTTCTTAGTACCAAGAACAGCAAATTTATGATTAGTCATATTAATTCAGAAACAAATGAAAAAATCTTCTAAAGCTATGATTAGTGTAGAAAATATGAAAGTATCTTCAGTTAATGTAGATTCAATTAAAAAAAATTCCCACCCCCATCTAGGGGGAGGGGATTATTTGCGATCACCTAGCTGATTTCTTTTTTGTAGCCAATGAGTTCAGATGAGCGATTCGGCCCACGGGTTCTTGTTTCATTTACTGAGGGGGATGCATGTTTTGATAATCGGCCACAATATGTCCCTTACAATTGTTTTTATTACCTTCTACATACAGTGCCATTGCAACATTACGTATAAATATTGTGAATCAGGCCTGCTTCATCCTGTGAAAAAGTATACACATATCCACATATCTCTTGCTACATATCTAATGTAATGTATTACATTCAGACCTTGGTGCATCTTTTGGTCATGGTGACCTGGTTCAATTGTTGTGGATTGTATTGTAGAACTAAACAATTACTTTGTACTAGAGTATGTGTTGTAGTAAAATTAACTTCATCTTTAATTAAAACTATCTCTTTTTCAAAATCATGTTATTAAATACTATGTGATAATTTTCAGTCGGACTGTAACAAAATCTATAATACCATGAGTTTCAGAGATGTCTGCGAGAAAATCAATTTGAATATATCTATTTCAGAACTTGAAAAAAGATGTGAACAAAAAATGAAGGAAATAAGCGTCGATCCTAAAAAGTGTGTTGTAAAGTTGTTCGAGTTCATTCCTTTATCTGGTAAAACGATTCATTCACTAGATGAGATTGAGTCCTCAAAATACGGCATAGAAAAATTTGGATCTGTTCGTAAAGTGGAATCCAGTGTTGCAGGTGTGAGAAGACAGTTTGATGTGAATATGTATGGCATATATAAAGTAAGTTTTCTAAATTTTGGGGGGATTTTATACTGCATTTGTTCACCTTTTCTTTAGAGAATATAAATTTACTATGTTTAATCAATAACATGGGGTTTTCATTGTGTTTTATTTTCAAACAGTTTGAGTTGGTAAAAGATAATTTTAAAAAAATGAGGAATTTTTTTCGTGCCAGCACCTACTGCGACACGGGTCCTCAGTTTATACTATCTCATCCGAAGGACCGGTCTCCACGTCCCACAATGGGATTCGAACCCGCGACGTAAAGATCGACTCCTTACTTTGCGACTCTAGAGCAGACGTTCTAACAACTCAAATTTAAGTTTTTATAAAAGTTTGTCAAACTCTAGGGTCAATGTTAAAAGGTCAAAAATATTTAAAATCCACCATAAGGTCTTTTCACAATGAATACACATGTGAAGAGTGAAAGCCCTAGCACTAACAGTTCAAAAGATATGGCCAAGGTTAAAGTTTTTTTTAAAAAGTGGGTAAAACTCCAAGGTCAACATATCAACAAAATTTATACCCACTGAAAGGTCTTTTCGCAATAAATACACTATGTACACATGTGAAGTAAGAAAGCCCTAGCATAACAGTTCAGAAGTTATGGCCATGGTTACAGATTTTTCAAAGTTGGTCAAACTCAAAGGTCAAGGACAAAACGTAAGAAAAAGTTTACTCGCTGAAAGATCTTATCAAAAAAAAATACACATATGGTGTATGAAAGCCCTAGCATCAAAAGTTCAAAAATTACGACCAAGGTTAAGATTTTCTTTAAAAAGTGGGTCAAACACAAAAGTCAAGTTTAAAAGGAAGACAACAAATTATACTTGTATACACATGTAACGTAAGAAAGTCCTAGCACCAACAGTTCAAAAGTTATGGCCATGGTTACAGATTTTTCAAAGTTGGTCAAACTCAAAGGTCAAGGTCAAAACGTAAGAAAAAGTTTACTCGCTGAAAGATCTTATCACAATAAATACACATATGGTGTATGAAAGCTCTAGCATCAAAAGTTCAAAAATTACGACCAAGGTTAAATTTTTCTTTAAAAAGTGGGTCAAACTCAAAAGTCAAGTTCAAAAGGAAGACAACAAATTATACTTGTATACACATGTAACGTAAGAAAGTCCTAGCACCAACAGTTCAAAAGTTATGGCCATGGTTACAGATTTTTCAAAGTTGGTCAAATTCAAAGGTCAAGGTCAGAACGTAAGAAAAAGTTTACTCGCTGAAAGATCTTATCACAATAAATACACATATGGTGTATAAAAGCCCTAGCAAAAAAAGTTCAAAAATTACGACCAAGGTTAAAGTTTTCTTTAAAAAGTGGGTCAAACTCAAAAGTCAAGTTCAAAAGGAAGACAACAAATTATACTTGTATACACATGTAACGTAAGAAAGTCCTAGCACCAACAGTTTTTTTTTTTGTTTTTTTTTAAATATATTTATTTCCAATAACATACAACGAATTTTGAGGCAAAACTTCCTCAGAAGCCCTCGGTTAATACCTCACCTGGGGTGCCAGGAGCTCCCTGGATCGGTATATTTTTCAATTTTCAATTTACAAAAGTTTATGATAGAGAAAAACTAATATTTCATTTTCACAAAAAGACATAAATATTTCAGTGAAAAACATTTCATATTAAATAGATATATAGATAAAATATCAATTTAATTACAACATATATAGAAAAATAAAGATTATAATTCGTCTGCTAACTTTTTTAAAAGATAGTAGTTAGATTTAACACTTTTTGCACTCTTTGCTATTACATAATACTGATACAAAGACGATTTAAAAAAAAATAACATTGCATTTTCATTTAATAATGTCATATCAATTGTGGAATACAAAATATATAAATATAAAATGAAATGTAGGTTGCAAAACGAAATAGTAAATGAAAATGCAATGTTATTTTTTTTGGAAGCACCAACAGTTCAAAAGTTATGGCCATGGTTACAGATTTTTTAAAGTTGGTCAAACTCAAAGTTCAAGATCAAAACGTAAGAAAAAGTTTACTCGCTGAAAGATCTTATCACAATAAATACACATATGGTGTATGAAAGCCCTAGCATCAAAATTCAAAAATTACGACCAAGGTTAAAGTTTTCTTTAAAAAGTGGGTCAAACTCAAAAGTCAAGTTCAAAAGGAAGACAACAAATTATACTTGTATACATATGTAGAAAGTCCTAGCACCAACAGTTCAAAAGTTATGGCGTAGGATAAAGTTTAAATTATTTTGTAAAATTTGGACAAACTCCAAGATCAATGTCACTTATTCAAATTTGATGGTATTTCTTCTCAAAAGGAATACACTTGTGAAATATGAAAGCCATAGCACCACTCATTCAAAAGTTCAAAGCATTGTTAAGGCTGCATAAAAGGGCTGGGGTCTAATTTATACGTCAAATGCTTACTGTAACATAACCTAGAAATAGTTATTCCTCATAAAAACAGAAAAGAAAACAAGAGGCCCATGGGCCTTATAGGTCACCTGAGTATCATGCAACAACTTTCCAACAATTGAATTTGATTCATGTTTTAATCCAGAGGCCATGAAATTCACAATTTTGAAAGAGGCACCATTGCTTATCATGATTATGCACTCAGCATGTTAACTTTGGTTAGTAATACCCAGAGGTACATGTAGATCACAGCAACAAAGAGAAAATGCATTTCCACTTTATCATTATCAGTTGTGCACCCCATCCCACAGGAATCACTGACCCTGGGGCCACATCTTTCAAAATTTTGGAAATTTTATAAATTTTATTTCATCATGTTGATTAAATCCAAAGTGCAGATTTCAAAGCATCAAATCATTTTCAGACCCCCTCCCAAGTACCTCTGTCCCAGGGGCCAGGAAATTAAGCATTTTTGGAAGAAGCAGCGTTCTTCGTCATAAATATATACTAAGAACATTGCCATAATACCCAGGATCAAAGGAAAAGCTTTTCAAAGAATTTGTGCATTTTCACTATATAAACATTAGAGACCCGCCCTAATTGTAACACAAGAAGCCCTGACCCAGGGGCCCTGAAATTCACAAATCTCAAAGAGGCATCCTTGCTCCTCATAACTATGTACACAGTTCATTGATTTAATACCCAGGTGCAGAAAAGAAGATTTTTAAAGGGTTTATGCATTTTCACTACATGTATATAATCAATAGAACCCCACCCTAACACCAGAACACCCAACCCAGGGGTCATGAAATTCACAATTTTGGAAGAGGCAGCCTTATTCAAAATAACTATGTACTTGGTTAGTTTATTTAATACTCAGGAGCAAATAAGAAGATTTTCAAAGAAATAATGCATTTTCACTATATGATCTATATAGCCCCGCCCTGCCACTAGAACCCCTAACCCTGGGCCATTAGATTCACAATTTTAGAAGAGGCAGCTTTATTCAACATAAATATGCATTTGGTTAGTTTTTTTAATGCCCAGGAGCAGAAAAGAAGAATATCAAAGAAATAATGCATTTTCACTATATAATCTATATAGCCCCGCCTTGCCACTAGAACCCCTGACCCTGGGGCCACTAGACTCACAATTTTAGAAGAGGCAGCCTTATTCAACATAACTTTGCACTTGGTAAGTTTATTTAATGCCCGCAAACAGAAAAGAATATCAAAGAATTACTGCATTTTCACAATAATAACCTATATGGCCCCGCCCTAGCACTATAACCCCTGACCCTGGGGTCTTTAACTTCACAATTTTGGAAGAGGCAGTCGTTTCCAATTCAACTATGCACTTGGTTAATCTATTTAATGCCAAGGAGTAGAAAAGAAGAATTTCAAAGAAATAATGCATTTTCACTATATAACATATTTAGCCCCGCCCTAGCACTAGAACCCCTGACCCTGGGACCATGAATTTCAAAATTTTGGTAGAAGACTTAATGCTGATTACAATCATGTCAATAGTTTGACTGGTTGATGTCCAGGAGTAAAGAAGAAGATTTTTTAAAGATTGCACTAATTTTAGTGGTTTTTCCCCTCCCTCCCCCCCCAGGGGGGAAGGGACCATGAAATTCACAATTTTTGTTCCCCTTCACCCATAGATGCTATATGCCAAATTTGGCTGAAATTGGTTCAGTGGTTTCAGAGAAGAAGCTGAAAATGTTCGAATGTTAACGCACGACGCACGACGGACGAAAACAGATAGCAATAGGTCACCTGAGTTTAATCAGGTGACCGAATAATTTGCATCTTTAAAGTGTATTAGCATAATTAACAGCAACAAAACTTATCAATACATTAAAAATGGTTGCCATTTATATCCCACAGAACATGTTATAAACAAATCTATGATCATAACAAACTTATCGACATGACGTTATTTTGTTAAAAATGGCGTATTTTATGTGCTGTGAGAGGCAGATCAAGTATAAACGAGGAATGTTTATTAGATAATGTCCTCGATGCTCGGAAAGAGTCAAAAACGCTTTTCAATGATTTTTCTTAATGATTTCATTTAAATATTCTTTTTAAATTAAAACTTGTCCGTAAAATTTTTATTCAATTTCTGATTGTTTTTAGAACATATTTTTGAGTATGACCCTTCGTATTCTTGAATATGACAGATCCTATGATTTCCTGGACTTGTTTTTTCTTTCTGAGAGGTTTTTTTTTTTTTTTTTTTTTTTTTTTTTACAAATTTGGAAGACGAAACAAGTCAAAGGGTGAAAGATATGTCGAATATTGTTGACGTGACAAAACATTAACTTTCTGTAAACTTGATCCCAAAACTCCTTTACTTTATATGGCGTGTGGGTTTGGACGCTGTAATGAAGAGATTTAATCTAGTGGATTCCTGATTCTGGTTCCTTCCTTTTATAAACTTTCGATTTTTTTTTGCACAAAATTGCTTTCTAAACACCCCCGAATGAGAATTTGAACAACAAGACCACTAATATTTTAGAAAATGGCTCTAAAACTGTTCTTTGTTATTTTGTACTTCTTTGCTTTGTTCAGATCTTTGC